CTGTAGGGGATAGTTGAATTCCAACTAAAGGCCCTTGGTTGCCCAGGATTGTATGTTGGTGTAAATATTGTATAAAAGGATCAACATTTCATACTTTTGAAAAAAGTTTGAAAACCATGTGAAACATTATGCTCTGCTTTATGATTGTTTGTCATTCAGAATTCCAGAGAACATAACATTTTTGTGGTTGTAATATGAAAAAAACAAATAGTTTTGAAATGCAGTGTAGAAGTCACAGATCGTGTAGGTCTAATTTGTTTAACAGATCTCTGTCTCTGCTTAGTCGCTGTTAAAATACATTTTATTAGAGAAATGTCTTTTTCTCATGCAGAACCCCCATCTCATAAAAGTGCATCATAGGATTAGGAATAATAGGCTCGCATTGTGAAGTACTTTTTAGACACATTGAAGAGAAATACGTCCTTTATTTATATAGCCATAATACTGACTGATTTATATCCAAAATCACTAAGCTAAGCTATTGCATTTTTTCAATGTGTTAGATAAATCAACTCAGCACTCACTTCATCACTTTTTTATGAAAAGAACATTGGCAAACGTCTAGCAATAAAAGCTCCTCTCAAAGGTATTAATTCCCTTACAGCTTCAGCGTATTTCATGGCTGAATTTCAATGAAAGGAAATAGTAAATTGTTGTGTAGGAAGAAAGGATCCAAAGTTTTAAAAAGTAGTGTTATTTGCATAATGTATTGTCAGTATTATATAGACATCCATCCATCCATTTTCTGTCACATCTGTCGCGAGGGGTGCTGGTGCCTATCTTCAGCTGTCAATACCCTGGACAGGTCGCCAGTCCATCCCAGGGAAACACAGAGACAAATAGGACGACCAAGCATTCACGCACACACTCACACCTAAGGAGAATTTTAGAAAAAACGATTAACCTAACAGTCTTTTTGGACTTTGGAAGGAGGCGTAAGTACCTGGAGAGAACCCACTCATGCACAGGGAGAACATGGAAACTCCATGCAGAAAGACCCTTGGATTCAAACCCAGAACCTTCAGCTTCTTGCTGCAAGGCAGCACTCCTACCCACTGCCTGGCTCTGCAGCCCTATTACACTTTCAACATAACTGTCCTATATCTTTATTATCCTTATTTAAATCCTAATTTCCAATCTCTCAAAAGCCATGAAGAATTTATAAGCAAGAGGCAAGAAATTGGGATTATTGTCATATAATAATCAGTCTCTTGGCTGTTAACTGCACAATATGTGTGAAGGCAATACTTACCTGGGACAATAACATCAACACATCACCTGCATGATGAAATAAAGTGATGGCAGGATCAAACTTTGGGAATTCATTGCTTTTTTATTTTTTGTTTTGTTGAACTAATCTACAATGTAATGAACATATTTGGCATATTCATGATGAGGTTCTATGGCTTTAAATACTAGTTGGTAATTGTTCCTTTGTTGTTAGCTGGAAACTATCACCATCCTTATTTGGCAGTTTTTTTTTTTTTTTTTTTTGTCTGAACTGGCCCTTTATCAGGGCTGGGTTTGATTTTGTTGGTGTTATCCAGCAACAGCTATGTATGCGTGTGCAGAGCTGACTGCACCAGAAGCTTAATAATTTCTTGGACGTTTGCCTTCAGGCCCTTGGCCCCTGCAGGATGGGCCTCATGCCAGCCGTACTGTATATTCATTTTTTTTTTTTTGTGGCAGTTTAGAGCAACCCTTAGCAACAGAACCAGAGTCCGTACTGTATATGCTCTGGCCCACATCCTGTTATAAACATCTGAGACATCATACAGCTGCATGAATTCATGTGGGGTAGGCTGCAGGACAAAATAGGCCTTGGCTCATCCAATGCTGGAAAAGACAAGAAAAAACAAACTTTAGACACTTTAGATGTAAGTGGGTTTTCTTACAAAAAAATAAAAACTATATATATATATATATATTTTTTTTTTTTTTTTCCAACTAAATAAGCATATGTGTGTGTTCAAATTAGCACCCTTACCTCTTCTCTGCTGTAAGCCCTCTGGGAATGTGAAATGGTGAGCTCTGGCCTCAGAGGGGTGAGCTTGAGGTGGCCCTCAACAGCATGGTGAGGTTAATAGATGCTGATCAATAGAAAGTGACAGTTTGCATAAAAAGCTGCTCCCCCTACTGGCCTGTTTTCAGTTGAATCAAAACTCTGTCCTCCCTTTTAAAAAGTGATGATTTAATTCTTGTAAAAAACACTGGGAATGTTTCGGAGATAGCAGGTTTATTTATAGAATGTTTATTTATTCAGGATCATAAAAAAAAAAACAACAATAAAAAGGTAAAATGTTTAAATCATAGCAATAAGATGTTTTTAATGACTTTCTCTTTTATTCTTTTTCATTTCTTTACATCAGGTTCAACATGCCTCATGATGACAATCCCAAGTGTAGAGAGGCAGGCATGAAGCACCAGTATCACGTCATGGCTCCTACCCTCAACTACGACACCAATCCTTGGTCGTGGTCCAAGTGCAGTCGCAAGTACATCACAGAGTTTCTAGAGTATGTACATCCATCTTCTCTTTCCCCTTCTGAAATTCTATAGTATGTCCCAAATCTAAAAACATATAAATCTATTTATATGGTGCTTTCTTTTGTCTGATAAGGAATCTTAAAAAAAGGTTTCTGAATGCCTTAAGAAATCCCCTAATTAGTGAATACAGCCCATCTGTGTTTAATTTAAACAGTTTAAATCCAGCTGCTCTGTGAGGACCTCAGAGGTTTGTTGGAAAACGTTAGTGAACAAACAGCATCATGGAGAAAGAAATACAAAGCAGACATGTCAGAGATAATGTTGTGGAGAATTTTAAAACAAGGTTTGGTTGTATAATAACATCAAAAGCTTTGTAAATCTCACAAAGCTCACTTTAGGCCACTTGTCGAGATGGAAATGGAACGGCGCTCGTACAACCTGCCAATGCATGGCTATTCAGCTAAACAGACAGGCAGGCAGGGAGAGCATTTTCTAAGAAACAGTTAAGAGGCCCATGGTTACTCCAGAGGAGTGCAGAAATCTCCAGGTATGTATAATAAATCAATCTATAAAGGGGCTTCTTTTGATTATATATTCTTTAAACCAGACTTTTGTGCAAAACTGCATGAAGAAAGCCAATATAAAAAACCTTAGAAAGTTGATGTAAACTACAAGCCATGGAGATGGTAAAGGAAATATGGATAAAGGACTAGAGTCAGATAAATCAAACTTTTTTTTTTTTTTTTTTTAAACATTGTCCTGTCTGGCAATGTGGCAATAAGAATAATTGTCTTGATGCCAAAAAGAGCCCAACAGATTTTTATTTTCACAAGTGGAGCAGTACTAGCCTCGTGAGACCATCCTGATCTCGCGAGCTTTCAAGGTTTCACGCGCAGATCAGTCTGGCTACTCTAGTCTCCGTTAAAGAAAATTTGGAGCCGTTCACCAATGAACGTCCAATCAGCGTTGGCTTTGAGGCGGGTTGAGGTGTGACGCAACGAGAAGCGCGACAGTTCAGTCTAAAGAACATGGCGGCTTCAGCCGATGAAACCAGCGTTAGCGTGGCTATCGAGCAAGTTTTATCGGAATTACAGAGTATTTCTTCACTGAAAGAAGAGCGAAACACTGCTCTGGAGGCTTTTCTCAGAGGAAAAGATGTTTTTGCTCTTCTCCCCACTGGTTTCAGCAAGAGTTTGATCTATCAATTGGCTCCTCTTCATCGTCGCTCTGTTAGTACGTCATATGCTTCGTTGATCTGATTGGTTTATTTGGCCCGTCTATCACCAACATAGGCCAATCAGCTAACCAGTATTTTCGCCTCTTCGCAAAATTACTTCAACGGAAGGTTTCCAGATGGATGGCGGAGTCAGGGTAGAGCAGTACGGCTATCGCCATAGTGTTCCGCTTGTTTCAAGCATATAAATTGCTTTATTATAATTATGCAGGGAGTTTTACAGATTATGTGGACACTGCAATGTAATAGAACAGAAGAGGAAAAACAGAAAAAAAGGAGAAAAGATGAAAGAAAGGGGAGATAGAAGGAGATAATCATAAAACATTTTCAGCCTGCTTCATCACCTGTGACGAGATGTAAAAAGAACAGCACAACAGTACAATAAAGTAACACCTTGAAACTATCGCTGAAGTAGTATTATTTAGTTAAGATAAGAATGTGGGCTTTCTGTATCCAAACTTTTTCTCAAACATCTTACCTTTAACACTCTAAGGGACATTGCTCTCTGCAGACTGCATGTTTTCTGTAGGAAATAAAGTTTTTAATTAAAGGTGTCAGAGCAAAGGTTGTTAAACAGCTCACCATAGCACAGTTCACACTCTCTAAAATAGAATAAATGCATAGAATAGAAAAAAGTTTTTGGTTGTAACATAATAACATCAAGACCAGGTTGGAAGGGTATGAATACTTTTCCAAATCCCTGAATATTTGGAACAAAAGAGGTTTTCTCAAGCAGAACAAACTTGTTTTTTTATTCCTGTGGCAGGACCTTCAGCTGCAGTTCACAATACAAATAGATCCTATGTCTCCATCAGGACTTTAAGACAGGTCGGCGCAATATAAACCGTGTGGAGTTGTTATTGCCTGGTGTTGAAAGAGTATTTCCTGTTTGAATCTAGGATGTGTGTGTGTGTGTGTGTGTGTCTGGTGGGGGGTATTCTGCCTCAGCTGACCTGAGACGTAGATCTGCTCCACTTCTTTAGACAGCTCTCCACTGAACCAGGACATAACACTCTCGCTAGCCTCCCGTTTACTCACATCGTCGGCGTCATCAATGAGTCTGCTAAAGGACTTCCTTTTTAACTGTGAAATGCCATTTGTCAAGATCTTCCCTCGACGTGACCTTTTTATCCTCCCCTCCTCTTCCAGTGGTTGATGTGGAGGCTCTTTTTCTCAAAGGAAACATTTTGGTTAAACAGATGGATCTTTAGTCTGGTTGGATCAAACTTGTTTTTGCACTTTGCATAGTTTCCCATCAGTAATGAGCTTAGCATTGAGTGGTCAGAGCAGTCTGCAAAACGTGAGGAGAATCCTCATCAACCTCTTTTATTTCTATTGGTGTATTATAAGTGTGTTACAAAAAAAAGAGAATCAATGGAGTATTTTGAAATCTTTCAATTGTTGCTCAGAACCTGACAAGTAAAGTCATTTAAAAAAAATGTAGGATTCTGCTAAAAAGTGAATAAATTTCACTAACACAACCTACTAAGTAAAAAAAAGATGTATTGTTAAAACCAAAAAGTTCTATCTATGTTCATTATAATTATTTTTCAGTTTGAGCTTATGAGACAAACATTTAGGATTAGAATTGAGTAAACAAATGTGGAGATAATAAAAAAAAAAGTATGTTCAACATTTATTTTAATTATGTTTTAAGTTGTACATTTATGTTACCGAATGAGCTTTATTACCATGCATATTCCACAATTGACTGAATAGGACTGTATGGTGTAAAAGTAGCTATTGTTAGAAAACCTTTTTGGTTTTTCTACACCTAATCTTAAACAAAAAAGGAGCTTTGATTCCACCCATCATTTCTACAGTACCACTCCTGTTTGGAGAGCTGACCTGGTTAAGTATGTCAGTGTTTTGGAAAGCCAGTATCAATAAAAAGCCAATTAAGTTCTAGGCTTCAGTACCTCTTCAACATTTTCTCCCCATATGCTGAAGTATTCCTCTTCTTCCCTTTCTTTCACTCTTCCTGGTATCATGTGCATCACTTTCCCACACATGAGAGTTGATGAAAAGTGTCCTGTTGTATTGGAGTATTACAATGTGACATAAAGAAGCTATTTATTATTTTTCTGGCTCTGCGTTGGTTTATTCAGGCCAAAAGAATCTAAGGAACAGAAGTAAAATGCAAATATCAGAGTGCTGTTCTCACAATAAAAAGAAAAGTACAGAAATAATTTTAAAAGAAGCAACTGCAGCTGCCCTTCAATCTATGGTCAGTTATAGGATCATTTTAGAAAAATTGTCTGTCATTCTATGAGAGAGTATTCAAAGAATTGATGTTGGAAAATTGCAAATTCGTCTTTTGAGGTTTAGGGTTGAGCAAAATAAACCTGGCATTAGAAAAGGCTCTTCTCGGAGAAGTTCTGTGAAAGCCCAGACCTCCATTTTACATCGTAGAGCTCTGAGTTAAGATGTCCATAGCTGCAAAAATAGAAGAAGAAGAAAAAAAAGATCAATAGTTCTTCATTTGGAGAGGTTGCCGAGAAAAATAAGTATCTTCAAAACATGGCTGCTTGATTTATGTGTGAAAAATGAATTAAATTAAATTAACCACACGTGAGGAAAAGTGCATTGTACTGATAAGATCATAGTGGCAATATTTGGTCAAAGTTAAAGAAAATGATGCTAGATAAAACCAAATAAAGCCCCTCATACCGCCTGTCAAGCAGTTTTATTAATGACAAAGTGTATGAAATATTACACTAAATGTTTGTGCTAAAAATCTTTATTTTAATAGCACAGCTGATATAAACACTAGCTAACTCTTAGCAGCACTCATGCCAAAGTGTGGAGTGGTTAATATATATAAAGGCTCAGGCATAGCAGAATCACTCACCAGAAAAATATTTTTTTGTTTTGATTTTCCCAAACCAGCTGATCAGGATCCGTTAAGCTGGTCATAAACAGATTTATTTATTTTTTTCAATTGATTAATTCATTGATTACCTTTATTGATCTCACAGTGGAGAAACGTACTCATTACATCGTCTCAAATAGTCAAAGAGAAGAAGAAGGTGCCAAAGGAAGAAAAGATGCATGGGTGGTTTTTGCGGTATATAAAATGCATATACAATGCATTTTTTTTTTTAAAGCAAGGTTATTCTACAGGGTTATTGCACAGGGTATTTATCTGTTTAGCTCTCGCACTGAAGAAATTAAATAAAATAGTAATTGCACATTATATATTGCACAAGTTATTGCTGAAGTTGGTAGTTGGTCATAAAACTCATTAAAATGTCCAAATTAGAGTGAGAAAGCAAGTGTTCGTCTTTTTTATGGTCATATCTCCCCCAAAAAACGACCACAATGACCCCTTCTGTCTCAGATGATCTTGGATATATTCATCATGGGTCAGGACGCCTAAATGACAAGCTGCTAAAAGACACTGCAGAATGGAAGCGCCTGTATTAGACTCTAACAAGCCGCCCTTTATCTTTCATTAACAGCACCTTCCACTACTGATTTATTCCGTATATGCAGTCCATTCACACTGGCAGGCATCATATACTGCAGTGTCATGCTGTAACTCACTGCTGGAAATGAAAGGACAAAGAAACAAAGTGACTGTAGCCCTGGATAATCCCTGATAATTATTGGCCTGTCACATCAGCTGCTTGCTTTGTGAAGCAGGTGTTTTAGCCTCTCATTCCAGATTGAGATTTGTCAAAGCAGACATGTGTAATTGCTCATCTATGTAGGTCTCATCCGCGTTTCCTTTTTTTCCCCCAGAGTAAACAAAAAAAAAAGAAGAGGCCTTTGTGGCTCGGCTCACTTTGCTCGGATGTTTGACGGGTGCTTTTTCATAGAGGTGAAGGCTGATGATTTTACATGTACTGTCGGCTTATGGCGCGTATAAATTCAGTCCAGCTGTGCTTTTGTACTCCAGGGCGGAGCTGATTTACAGCACAATCTGTTATTATACAATAATATTCATTCATTTATGTCACTTAACAAATGCCTTCATGATCACACTTGATGTCAGAGTCTAACTCCTGTTAGCTCTGCTATAAAAGACTGTTTTCACCCAATTTTATTAATTGTCTAGGTTTAATACAATCAATATTTACAAATAGACTTTAAAGAGTTATTCTCTTTAGGTAACTGTCCGGACCACCCACAGAGGAAACACATCTAAAGGGTGCTCATCACCCACAATGACACTGACATGTTTACCTTGCCTTTATGATAGAGATAACGCTGGGATGTTCATGCTTTTCAGGGTCATAGAAAACTCTGTTACCTTGAAATTCCCCTATGAATTTACATTTCATGTTAACTATAGGGAGGCTTAGTGATTCTCTCTTTCCTTTCTTTTGATGTACATTCTTCCTGTCTGTCAGCACTGGATACGGGGAGTGCCTCCTGGATGAGCCTGTCGGCAGAACATACGAGCTTCCGACTCTCCTTCCTGGTCAGATCTACAATGCCAACAGGCAATGTGAACTGATGTTTGGTCCTGGTTCTCAAATTTGTCCCTATATGGTAAGTTGACATCTAATATAATTAAGAAATAAAATAATACTGAAAGAAGATGATGGAAGGAGATAGGTAAAGCCCCAAAAAATACATATCTCTGGTGTTCTTCAAATGAAGATTATTTAACTTGAACAAATAAGTGTATTTCTGATAGAAGGTATTTCCCAAAAAGTTATTTAGACAATGTAAATGGAGAATCAGTTTGGGGACATCAGCTTTGTGTTTAATTCTTTTAAAAAAATACCTTATTAGTTCTTCTTGAAAAGACCCACTCTCTCTAATAAAAAAAAAAAAAATGCACATGCAGAACCCTGTACCAACTCCTGAGAGGGAACGCTTAAGAAACGCTCTTTAAACAAAGCGTGCACAAACCCATTTCACATTGTGCACGCTCTGTTTACAAGTTTACTTTCCAAAAGAAGATTTGCAATTTTTCCACAATGTCAGACTCACCACCGTTAAGTCCTTTCGGAAAAAGAACATCCTCCACTATACCTTTGAATAATGCCATAATACAGATTGATTATTAAAATATTCCTTTATAAAGTTTTTATACCACACATTTATTTCCTAAACTAAAAGATGCATGTTTTAAAAACAGGGAGGAAGTTAAGATGCTCAATCTTCTGTTTTTTTGTGTGTTTTTTTTTTTTAGCTCTGATTGAAATTAACAAACCAGGAAAGAGAAGTGACTTTTTTTCAGATTCTTTTGGGGGAAATCCAGAGAAACATGGTAAAAACTAAAGCAGTTACTAACAGAAATTGACTAAATACAAAATTCTACAGAAAAACAAATGACCAAAACACTGAAATAAAACCTGACAGTTACATAACCCAAAAGCCAAAGGGCCACTAAATGAAGTCCTAGCGATAATAATTTTAGCAAATTAATCTGGTGCCAGTAAATACAGATGAAGTGTTTTAGATTTTAGTTTTAAAATATTTCAACAGCTCAATCCAGGTTTTATTGCTTGATAAACTACTTTTCTATCATCACAGAAACAATGCAAAAGATTGTGGTGTACGAGTGCAGAGGGGGACCACAAAGGCTGTCGCACCCAGCACATGCCTCTGGCTGATGGGACTGACTGTGGTCATGGAATGGTAAGTCAAAGGCAGTCCAAATGTATGCAGCAGCAATGATCCATGGGAAAACCAGCTCTGGTTTTATGAAAAAAAAATATATATAAATAAAAATACATGCAAAGTACCTTGGGAAAAATCTTTTTACATCACATTAAAAAGTTTTGTCTATTTTTGGGGTTTTGTGTGACATAATGTTAGGGAGCAATGGTTTGTAGAGTCATTTTAGCTTGACAGCTGAAAGTACAATACAACCAATTGCCTACAAAAAGGAACCTATTAGTAAATAAGCAACAGTTTTTAGGGGGTATTGGAGATTGTGATTGGAGATGTCAGGGATAAAGCTGTGCTATGTTTTAAGGAAGGGTTAAAGTACAAAACACCCTATTTAAATGGGAAGCCCATAACACTCGTTATTTTTTAAACAACCTAATTGTGTATTTTCAAGGACATAAGTAGAATAAGAAAGAGACAGGAGGAAGTAATTGTAATCACAAAACTTTTAATAGTGCATCTGCACATTCATGTTTTGTGTCTCGGGCGTTGAAAGTCTACATTGGATGCTCATCTAGCGACGATGTGAGGTCCTTTCAGCTGTTTCAAACACTTGATGTGGCATGTTTTTTAGAGTCAGATGAAGTGCATTGTGAGGTTTTAAGTGTTGACCATATTTAGTGGATCCAAAGAGGAGGAAGTTGGAAAATCTGTTTGCAGCTCAAGTCAGTGCTTCAACTAATCCAAGAAGCTGATATGGGAGTTGGCTAGGATACAGTCACTGTATCCAAGTAGTTGCTTAACTAGTTCTAATTTATACTGGATACATTTAATTTCCAATTTCCCAATGTTGTCCTGTCTCTTACTGGATGTGCTTTGGCTTCACCACTATAACCACTGGGGAATCTTCAACTTTTACATTGATTACATATAGAAACATATTTTCTTTGGCAATGTTTGGCTGGCAGACTGATGGGTATTAATGGTGTTTTGAGAAAAGCCGTGGTTTTTCTCTGGAGGTGCTGTAGAGAAATCAGAAATGTTAGTGTATTTAATTATGATCTTATTTTGATGCTTCCTAACTGTAATAGGATGAAAAAAGGGAAAATGGTTTTTAATGTGGAGGCAGATCAGGGATAAAGTTTTGCACCAAATCAATGTCCAAGGACTTTATCATGTCTATGTTTCTATTTCAAATGACAGAAGAGATTCTCAAAATGAACAACTGCCATGTAGGTTTATTGGGTCAGAAATTTCTCCTCCTTAAATTATTTACTGAAGCCTTTACAGTACCTGCTACATTATGTTACGACTTGTACTCAGCATTTGATCACGTTTTCCAAATGGTATACAATACTTTTCAGTATCTTGCATCCTTTTATGTATGAGGCATTTTGGGAGTCAATGCAACCATTTTGCAACACACAAAATGCCCATCCTTACTGCAAAAACAGATATCATCCTTTCAAATACTTATTTCACATTTGACTCAGTTAATCTCCTGTTGGAATATCAATGCACTACATTTTTTTTTCAATCTGCAGTAGCCATTTATATTTCACAAGATGTCAAATAATTTGCAGAACACTGAGAGGAGTTTACATTGTCCTTTCTAGGGTAGTTTTTGGGTAGACAGCCTGTTAAATGTATACAATGTAGAGGAATTTAACTAATATACACTTTTTGGTTTATGGCAGTATGGAACTCTCATCAAGTATTTTAAAAAAAGAACTGAAATCATGCGTTGGCCCAGAATCCAAAAACATTCAACTGAGTTTCAAATGACTGGTTTATATCAAATGTCATCATCATACCAGAATAGCCCAGTTGAAGGTCTGGTCTTAAATACTTTGATATTCTTAGATAATGTTGATTAGGATAGAATAGCATCTAAAGAGTTTTGGGTATAGGTATTTACAAAATCATGTTCAGGTAACCTTGTAGAGAAATATCAAATGACTTACAGTGGGTACAGTGATACATTGGGTTTTGAAAGTATTGACCAATGGGGCAGAAAAAAAAAAATTAATAAATTATTTTCCTTTTTATTTCTCATACCGTTCAAAGTGTTTATCACAAAACATACTTGTAAAATACATTTTTTTTTTTTGCTGTAACAGTTCAACATGTTTGAATACATTTTGATGACAATGACAGTGCAAATGCAAAGAGCTGAAATTGTGTACATGTATCTCATACAATAAAAAAATGACCCCAAATTATTCTGATGATGCAAAGTAGAGTTCAAAATTGTTTCCTTTTCCCCATTGAACTAGTTTCTTCCTAAAAGGGAGCCATACTGTATTGAATTTCAAACAGAACACATTTTTGACAGATGCCAGACTTCACATGCACTGTTTAAGTTTTGATTACCTTCCCAGTTGTGCATTTCTACTAACAAAAAAGGAATAATTTTACATGAATTACTCTGCTCCCTGCTTTCTGAAACCAGGAACCCATGTTCCATCCCACCCAAATAAGTGGATGGCTAGAGTTAGAAACTTGAAGCTTTACCATCCTGTGTTGTTAAAGGGGCCCCCATCAACCTTTAGCCCGCATGTTTTCCCTGCCTTGGGACAGTATGCTAATCAGAGCTGAGACGGTGGGTCACTCATACATGGATAGGAAAGCCAGAAGGAGGATGATTGAGTGGGGGAGGAGGAAGGAGAGAGAGAAATAAAAAAACAGTGATCGAGGGAGGATAAATTGATTTGAAGGAGTGTACCGCCTTCTGTTCACAGTTGAGTCACCTTATTTTGAACCTGTAACCCTAAAACATCTCTAGAAGACAGGTGATTGGGTCAGTTGTAAGACTATAACAGACAAGAAGGAGGGCAACTAGTGTTCTCACAATAGACCTTAAGTCAGTGGTCCCTGTAGATGGGAGAGAAGGGGGGAATGAGCAAATGGTTGACTTGGTGTTAGCAGTTGGAACATGCATGGTGAGGAGAAGGAGAGAAGGAAGGTTCTCTTTGTCTCTGACCTTTTGGCTTCTATGAATCTCATGGATTGAAACCCATGTTATGTCTCATATTCTTTCATCTGGCTCCATCTCGTTCCCTGCCATGTTAGGACCAGGATCTGCCCAGACTAGCGAGGAGGAGTTAACAGGGAATGGCTAACATCCTAATCCAACTGCAACAACCAGTCTAAACAATAATGTACTCTGACTGAAAGCTCATTTCTGCAGCCATTGTGTATGTGGGTTAAACACATAAAAGTGTAATCAACCTTAGTGGTTTTCTTCATGAAGATACAACCTACAAACAAACACACTCAGAAGCCAAGGGAAAAAGTTAACAGGTTTATTGTGGTTTACAAAAAAACACAGACTGAGAGATAAATAGCTGGGTAACACTGTTGGACCTGAGCGGACTGGTGAGCCTGAACCGGAAACTCTGAAGGGGAGATAACAATGATCAGTTCAGGGACCGTAGTAAAATTGACTGAGGCTTGTAATTTGCAGGAGAGGCAGTCACGTTTGGGGAACTCTTGGTTAATCTTTGGATCCAGTTTGTGGGGGTTTATCCAGAGATGTAAGAACTCGTTGGAGGGCGGACAGGCAGACTAACGTTGGGTCCAGAGGAGCAAAGGAGCGGACTGTCACCGGGTTTTCCTGAACAGGACTTGAACGGATCATGTGGGGGTTTCCCCTTGCTCAATTGTGACTCAGTTTATCCTTCCAGGGGTTAGGGGGGGGGTAGAAGGTCCAGGCTTATCCAGTGGATCAGGATGGCTTCCTGCTGAAGAACAAAGACAAAGCAAGCTTAGACTCAGAAAGACAAGGCTAAAGGTTAGACTCAGCTTATCTCAGTTTGACTAGAGTACCCAATACTGGCAAACACTCTGGCGTCGAGGTAGTGACAGCCCGCTGCTCAAATACTCCTCTGGTGATGATCCGAGCCGCAGGTGTGCAAAGAGGCCCAAACGAGGACAGGGCACCATCTAGTGGTGGAAAAAGAAAACACAAAAACAACCCACACAAACTGGATTCCTAACAAACTGGGATAGATGTTACTAATGGCTTGTGTTTAGCTCTGGATAAGTTTCACTGAAATATGCAAATTTATCGTGAAGAGTAATATATATTTAAATCCCTTGATTGTACCCCAATGGGGACATTCGTTCTCTGTATTTTGACACATGCTCTTGGGAAGCAGTGGGCTGCAATCAGGGAACCCAGAGGGGATTGAACCAGGTACTTGAAACCTTCTCAGAGCACAAGCGGACTTCTCTAAACCACTAGGCCAACACTCCCCTATATATTCCCTATATAGGTTACTATATCTTTGCAACTAGTTTTTACATAGTCTTAGACTTTTGGAACTATTGTAGAATTAGTAATATATCAAAAGTGAAGCAATAGCTTGTCTGCTAAATTATTTATTAATATTATATCATTATATTAATTATATAATTTCTATTTACTGCATATTTGACTAAATGAAATCTAAACTAATTACCTATGACAGACAAATAAACCATGTTCTCATAATAGCTTGGCATTTAAAATATCAAAATGGGTTTTAAAAGCTTGAAATTGCAGTACAGTAGATTTCTTTTGGATCTTTCCAGTAAAAGAGAAACTGATCCTTTGTGCAGAAACTGTGACTCTTATTAAATGGATTATAACATTTGAATGTTCCGCACTTAAAAAAATCAAATCTCTAAATATATATTTTGTCTTAGCTGTTCAAAAAATAAAACTTTGAAAAGAGTTAGGATTTTTTTTGGATGTAGAAAGAAAATTAAGAACCAATTCGTTTTTTAAATTAGTTGTGCAACAATTACTTGAAATCCTAATTTTCCTCTTTCACCAGTAGGGACTGTTGATTTTGCTTAGGTAAATGGCACATTATGTTTGGCCTTATTGGAGAAAAAGCAGGGATGCTGAAATGACAAGCATTCAAAGGAAATTCGGAGCAATTGTGGCGGAAGGAAAATATAAAAGTTGAGCTAGAAGGAACATTTAACACAAATAGACCCTAGCTTGGAGACAAATATACTATAAACCAAGGGAAACAGAT